GAGGCCAAAATTGAAGGGATGGACAGAGCCCACACAAAGGGTAAACAAAAGAGATCAGAGGTGACTAGACATATATTAGACAAAATAACCATTAATTCAAAATCTGCCACAAGAGATCAAATGAGAAAGATAGATGTTGTACTATGATAAAGTTTTTATTTTACCAGAATGATAAAACTATTGTAAATATATATGCATTCAACATTATAATATCTAAATATATGAAGCAAATATTGACAGACATGAAAGAAAGAGATAATTCTCACCATGCATTAGTTAGCAATTGATTTGCACAAGTCCAGTAGACAGAACACTCATACAACAAGCAAAACAACATTATTTTCACAGGCAACAAGGAGCAATAAAATACTAAGATTTGTGGTGACCACCAAAGCTCCGGAAAACTACACGGGGAGAAAGGAATCTAATCTGCATGTGTTCCATGTGGTACTGCAGTTGAGGAATCCTGAAAAGCAGCTTTCCCTGAGATTTACACAACGGGTAAATGAGACTCCCTAGGATAAAACTATGTAGGATCTCTTCTTCTAGCAGGGACAGGAACAGAGTCCAGGCTATTCCTGTCAGTAACTCCTGATGTGATATGAGTGTTCTGATGATGATTCCTAGTACATTTTACAGTTTTTCGTGGGAACTAATTACAGGTAAGAAAAGGAAGATATCTAGGATGGTCCAAGATCATCTGGGAAACTTTCCTGTAGATAGCAATACTATAATATTAGAAGACTCAAATAGTCCACTTCCAATAATAGAGAGACCATCCAGACAGAACATTAATAAGGTGATTAATGGTGGACTAAACAACATTATAGACCAAACAGACCTACCTGATAATTAACAAAACAGCAGCAGAATACACATTTTTCTCAAGTGTGTTCTTCGGTATGGATCACATGTTATAGTACCAAAATGTCTTAACAAATTGAAGTAGATTAAAATCATACCAATTATCTTTTCTGATCACATTGAAATGAAATTAGAACTCAATGGTAGCAGAAGGAAAACTGGAATATTCACAAGTATGTGAAAGTCAAACAATACACTCCTGAAAAATCAATATGGCAAAGACAAATTAAGAGGAAAATTAGAAAATACTTTGAAACAAACACAACATATCAAAACTTAGGATATGTAACGAAGCAGACTAATAAGGAAGTTTATGATGGTAAATATCTACATTAAAGAATGAAGTAAGATCTCAAATAACTAGGTAAATTTACACTTTAAGAAACTAGAAAAAGAGGAACAAACCAAGCCTGAAGTTCATAAAAGGGAGGAAATAGTAGAGATTAGATTACGAATAAATGAAACAGACAAGAAAATCAATAGGAAAAAAATTAAAAGAATTAAGAGTTGATTTTTTGAAAAGGCAAATAAAATTGATGAATATTTAGCAAAACAGTGAGAAGAAAAGAATAAATAAAGAACAAAATGAAAAAGATATTACAATTGATGGTACAGAGATGAAAGGCATCACATGAGACTATGAAAAACTATACACCAACAAATGGAATGATCTAGAAGAAATGGATAAATTCCTAGAAACATAAAACCTACCATAAGCATATCATAAGAAGAATATCTCAACTCTTGTAACTAATGAGATTGAATCGAATCAAAAATTGTTAAAACAAGGGGCTGGGGATACAGCTCTGTTGGTAGAATGCTTGCCTCGCATGCACAAGGCACTGGGTTCAAAACCCAGCACCACACACACACAATTACATACAAAAAGAGGTATTAAAACCCTTCCAAAACAGAAAAGTTCAAGACTAGATGGGTTCTCTGGTAAATTCTATCAAATATTTAAATAATTAATGCTAAATCTTCTCAGGCTATTCCCAAAAGTTGAAGCAGAGAGAACACTTCCAAATTCATTTTGTAAGTGCAGCATTGTGTGACCTCAAAGCCAAACAAAATCACTCCAAGAAAATCAAATTACAGGCTAATGCCTCAGATGAACATAGTTGTAAAACTCCTCAATAAAATACTAGAAAACAAAATCCTACAGCAAAATAGAAGAATGAGACATCATGAGAAAATTAGATTCATCCCTAAGATGTGAGGGTGGTTCCATAGGAAAACCAATCAATGTGATTTCAAAATATATTACAAAGATAGATATAGTGTTTGCAACAAGTGTGGTAGCCAGGCATGGTGACACAGGACTCTATCCCAGTGGCTCAGAAGACTAAGGGTAGGATTGTGAGTTCAAAACCAGCCTCAGCAACTTAGCAAGGCCCTAAGCAACTCAGTGAGACCTGATCTCTAAATAAAATACAAAAACAAAAAGGCTGGGGATGTGGCTCAGTGGTTAAATGGCTCTGAGTTCAATTTACCCCATCCCCAAAAACAAAACAGTGTGGGACTGGCATAAAAACAGACATAATGCAGACCATGGAACAAAATAGCACAGAAATAAACTCATGTATATATGGTCAACTAATCTTCAGCAACGGTGCAAAGAATACAAAATGAAACAGGATTGTTTCTCCAATAAATTATGTTTTAAAACTTGATATTCATATGTAAAAGAATGAAATTGGGCGCCTTTCTCACACCATACACAAAAGTCAACTCAGAACAGATTGGAGACTTCAATATAAGACCTGAAACTGTAAAATTACTATAATCATTGGTAATCATTTCTTGAATTTGATATCCAAAACACAGTCAACAAAAGCCAAAATCAAGTAGAATGGCACCAAATTAAAAATTTATTCACAGTAAAGGAAACAACAGAGTGGAAAGGTACCTATAGAATAGGGGAAAGAGTTTTCAAATTATATATGAGATAAGGAAATAATATCCAAAGCATATAAGGAGCTCTTACATCTCAATCCAAGAAAACAAATACTCTGAGTTCTCAACTGGACTAAGGAATTGAATACGTATTTCTCCAAAGACTAACAAATGGCCAACATGTAAGGCATTCACACCATAAATCATCAGAGAAGTGCAAATCAAAACCATAATAAGATCACCTCACATCTGTTAGCATTGCCATTATCAAAGACAGAAAAAATGTTGGCAAATATGTGGAGAAATTGGAACCCTTGTAAACTCTTGGTCAGAATGTAAAATGGCACAGCTACTATGGGAAACAATATGTAGGCTCCTCAAAAAAAAATGAAAAATAGAATTTCCATATAATCCAAAAATCCCACTTCTGGGTATTAATTCAAAAGAACTGAAATCAGAAACTCAAAGAGAGATTTGCACTTCCATGCTCATTGCAGCACTATTCACAAGAATCCAAAACTGGACATAAGCCATGTGTCCATTGACTGAGGAATAGATAAAGAAAATGTGGCATAGAAATTCAAGGAAATGATATTCAGCCTTTTAAAAGAAGAAAACCCTACAATGCATGAAAATGTGACTTAACTTGGATGATACTGTACTAAATGAAATAAGCCAGTCACATAAGGACAAACATTATTTGAATTCACTTTTATGAAGTATCTAAAACAACAAAATTTATAGAAGCAGAGAGTGGAAAGGTGGTTGCCAGGAGTTTGAGGAGGGAGGAGACGGTAAGTTTCTACTCAACAGGTATGAAGTTGTAGTTATGAAAAGGAAATAAATTCAAGAGATCTTCTGTATTGTCCACCTTAAAATTGATTAAAAATGAAGATCTCATGTTAAATGTCTTGCTGCAATAAAAGTAAAATTAGAAAACACATTTAGGGACTGGCAATGTGGCTGAGTGATAATTGCTTGCCTGGCATGCACAAGGCTCTGGGTTCAATTCCCAGCACTGCAAAACAAAACAAAAACAAAAACACATCTAGGAGTAGATTTTTGAACATTATCAGTCATCAGATGATGGATAATTTCCCAAGGGAAATGTGAAAATGTCATCATTGAAGACATCTGAAGCCAGACTGAAGAAAAACACACAATCACATAAAGTTGGCCTTGTTCTCCCTACATGGGTGACAAGGCCAGGCCCACACAAGCATGACCTAAGACACCAGTGGATGCCACAGCCTATGCACACCCTCCAGCCCACCCACTGCTCTACAGGATGAAAGACGAAGACTGGGCTGGAGCTAATGACTCAGCTCAGGAAGAGTTGCTCAGCATGTTCCTGGCTCAGCCACAAAGTTCCCAGAGTGCTAGGAAAGGGACACTCACATCAAGTCACCATACTCCCAGCCCAGAAAAATTTCCAGGGAACCTAGAGGCTCCTCTCCACTCCACCCTACTCTTGTAAATTGGCTTGTATTTTGTTTTTGCTATTTTTTTAAAATCAGACAATACCTTATAGAAGACAAGATCACATAATCTAAACAAAATAAACAGCACCTTAGACTGGGGGTCAGCAAACTATGTTCCAAGGGTCACATTTGGCCCATGACCTGTTTCTCTAAATAAAGTTTTGTTGGAACACAGCCAAGCCTATTAATTTGCATAGCATGAATGGCTGCTTTCATGGTATTTCAGCAAGGTTCAGTACTTCAGCAAGGGCCAGATGGTCCATAAACCCTTAATAAGGAAAAACTCTGCCTTAGAATGATAACTTTGAGAAAATTAACTCAAGCATCTCCTTTACCTTTTTCTCTTTTTCCAAGCAGAGAAAAGAAAAGAATTTAAATTTAAACAGTATGTTTATGAATCTAGTGCAAGATATCACAGGTTATGGTTCATGTCTGGTACATCCAATATAGTAGTTAAGAATGAAGGTACTGGAAGTCAGAAAGACCTGAGTTCAAATCCCAGATTTTCTATTTACTAGCTGTGTCACCTTGGGAAATTTGCTTAGCCTTTCTAAACTTTATCCTAAAATAAAATTTTAAAAAATATAACTTTACTCAGAGGGCTGTTTTAAGGAATGAATGAATTATTGCATGTAAACCACTTAGTACAAAACCTTGTACATTACTCTGTGCTTAAAGAACTGCCTATTATTATGACTTCTATTATCAAAAGATTAAAACAGGGAGATCAACTTTCCAAGATTGAATATGAAGTATTACCTGTGCAGTTTTCCCCAAGATCTCCACAGAGAGGGCCATTCGTTTCAGGACTTCTGGTTGAATTTCCATCAGCCACCACACAGTGGAGGATCACTAGGCCTTTAAGTACAAAACAGAACCAAAAAAATAAGCATTAGAACTCAAGAATTTGCTTAATGTGAAATACCATCTCCAAGTCATAATCCACTTAGGAGACTAGCAAGCCTGTGGCTCTGTACCTCTCTCCCAGCCAGGCAGGGGAACAGAGGCCAGAATGTCTCATATTTTCAGCTAAAGATGGTATTTTCAAGCCAGAGTTCTTATACCTGACTATGCATCTTAAGGGAGGAGACTTGGACATATCTTAGGAAGGAGCCTGAGATTTGCTTTAAAATAATCCAACATGGAAATAAGGGTACAAAGTAATGAGGAAAAGACAGAGGAAACAAGACTGGCTTCATGGTGGTAATTGTTGAAACTGGATGATGGTGTGTCGAGGTTCATTATGCTGTTCTCTCTAGTAAGTATATATCCAAAATGTCTACAAGGAAAAGAGGAGAGGATAGAAAAGGAGAAAAGGGGAATATAAAGATGGCTTAGGAAGTAGCTAGTCCTGAGTTTAAGACCTGTTTATCAGTGTTAAAAGTATGCTAATCTGGTGTGTTTAAGTCAGTTTCACTGCTGTGACCAAAAGACCTGACAAAAACAAAACATACATAGTATAAATAGTCATTTAATAAAAGTTTATCTTGGCTTATAGTTTCAAAGGTTCAGTCCATGGTTGGCTGACTCCACAGCTCTGGGCTCAAAGTGAGGCAGACCATCATGGTGGAAGACCATGGCCAAGAATAGCTCAAGATGCGGTAAAAAGGAAACACAGAGAGAATGCGCTCCATTCACCAGGGACAAAATATAAACCCCAATGAATGCCCCCAGGAATCTATTTTCTCTAACCGCACCCTACCAGCTTACAATTACCACCTAGTTAGTCCAAATCAGTGAATTAATCCACAGATTAGGTTAAGGCCCTCATACTCTAATCAATTTCACCTCTGAATATTCTTGTATTGTTTCACACATATGCTTTTGGGAGATACCTTATACTTAAACCATAGCAATGTGTTAAGAATTCAAAGCACCGAAGATAGTGTTGGCATATAATCAGTGATCAGTAAAACTTACTCATTATTATGCAAGATGTAACTTAACCTCTCACTGGTTATATTGAAAATTATACAGTTGGCTAACAATTTCTAAACAGCACATCTTCCCCAATTCATTTCAATTCAACCAACATTCTTGAGCATCCAGGAACACACAGGTGAATAGGACATTCCTGACCCTCAACTTGCTCTAAAGCAGATAACTAAAGCAGATAAACAGCCAACCAATTCTTCACAACACAAAATAATAGTCCTACAGCAGAAAACTGCAGTAGCCAAGAAGTTCAAATGTCAGATTATTCAAAAGGGTCTTTATAAAGACAGGCTTTTTTTCCATTTTTAAAATTAGAAAAGATTTTTCTTAAAGAAAGATATGCTACTTGGTGTTGGCAAAAGTAAAGAGAAATGGCAACTCAAATCCACTTGTGATGGATAAACTCATACTGCTTATCTATAGATTTAATTTGTAATCTTAGATGTGTAGATTTAATTCTACAGAAGTTAAATCAAAAAATAACTCAAAAAATGTACAAACCTTAAATCCAATAGCTACATTGCTAGTAATTTTTCCCAAGGAAATAATTCAGAACACATAAAAAAGATTTAGCTAGCTTTAGAAACTTTATATATGGTGTAAGTCAGAAAAAAATAGAAATTACCTAAATAGTTAACAATAGAGGATTGATTAAATACATTTTATTTATCTTCATGTAATAAGTTTTAAGCCATAAAAATTGATGTTCAAACAACAACAGCACATTTTAATATATTTCTAAACAAGAAAGCAGACTATAGGATAATCATTTAGTGTGATTTGTGTGCATGGGTTTCTTTGTGCATAAAGTGTAAAAAAACAATTTGTATAAATAGTTACTTAATAAATAAATACAGAGTTGCTCACACTGGCTAAGAGGGGATTTTTTTCTTAATCTTGCTTATTTGTGCTTTCCAATTTTTTACCAGCACATTTTGTTTATTGCAACAAGAGAAAAAGGAATGACTCACTTTTTTTGTCACAGTTTGGCCACCAAATTTCTCAATTATTTACACGTTTTCCCCCCAACATTTGTCTCTCCCTTTACACTTAGAACAAACAGAAGCAAACAATCACTTAGGGTTTCTCAAACACAGAAACTATGTATTACTCATCTTCATAATCTCGGCAAATGATACAGAGCATAAAGGATGAAGAATGACTCAGTCAATCTATAAACAAACAAAAACCTCAAAATCAAAAATCGTAGTAGCAATTTCTAGTGGAAGATAATAAAAGACATTTAATCCATTTCCAAAATTCCACACATGAACTTTCTTTATGGGGCAAAATGAGGACACCTTAATTTTACAGTTAATCTGTTCTAATAATGGAAACTCAAAAGAAAGGTAAATGTCAACATCTACAAACTGGGGGTAGCAATATCTGCTCAGGGTTTGCAAAATTAAGTTTTATCAGAAAAAAAAAACACATGAATTGGCACATCTTATGCAATTTTTAGTCTAGTTGCACTCCTTCCACTATCATTTATAACTTAACCCATTATTCTCCACCTCCATCTGATGGAAGGGACCCCGATCTCATAAAAACCTTACCCAAGCCCTTTCAGCTGGACCTCACTCCACATGCTGGCTTCACTTGGCAAAAGGAGGCCACCATCATCAGGTAGATGCAGAGCCCCTGGGGAGGAGGCATCTTCAGCCAAACCAGCACCCAAACCAAGCAGAGAACCTGGAACAACATGCACTCTACCTCCCACTTCCCACCCACAATCTTCAGTCCAGCAACTGATGACCATGAACAGAATTATTCCTGAAGAATCATTTCCTTGACCTGCATAGTTTTTCAAAACTGAATTAAGGCAGTTCATATTAGACCTGAAGTTTGTGCTTCTCTCAAAATTACAGGAGGTCTGGCAATGAAGGATTTTTTCCTCTAATAACTGGCTGGGACTAAGAATCAGGTAACTCCTTTAAGTGCCACAAACTATGTGAGACTTGCTGATCTCATTTATTTTAACAGTCAGGATCCTAGTGGACATTTGAGTTTGCGATCTGAAAGAAGTGATACAGAAAACAGAAAAATGCTCTCAAACCCATCTACCAAATAGTGAAGTCTATTACAAAAAGGGTACTCCTGTTCCATCCTCTCAACAGATATTTATTAAGCACTATGTATTTGGCACTGGTGCAAGATGCTGAAGTCTCAAAGATATTATCACTAACCTCAAGGAGATAAAATACTAGAAAACACAGACACACAAATATTCAAGTAAAGTGTGATCAGCATAGCAACAAAGATAACACAGGAGTTACACCAGGTGAAGAATCAACTCGGCCCAGTGGCAAAGACTTCATAGAGAAATTGAGGTTTATAATGGATTTTTAATGAGAAATAAATGATTTTTAAAGCATCAATGAATACTTGTGAAAAACAAAAATATGTAAGCAATATAATCACAGTTTATCATTTGTTTCAGCAGTGGATAATAACTATGCAGTTATAATAATATCAATAGTGATAATTGAACAAAAGATTATCATAAAATTAGGGCCACTTGCTAGCACACGTACACCACCTGGGAGACTGGTAGTAATTAATCAGTGCCTGTGCTGTACCAGTTCTTAAGTTTTGAGTATCATCCTGAAGTTAATGGTTCTAAAATTATGAAAAAGCAAGAACTCAATAGCAAAGATCTAAAGCTGACAAGTCAAGAAGTAGCATCATAAACAAAGTATTTCATAATACAGAGGCGAATAGCAGAAGAAACTCCTAAAAGAGGCAACAGGTGCTGCCTCTAGGGAGGTGGAAAGGCAAGAAGGTGTGGTGTACAAAGATCTTCTTATTATTTTAAATCTATTTCTACCTACTTCTTTATTAAGAAGAAAACTTTTTTACAAGATAATAAATAACATGTTAGTTAACTAGGGCATGCTAAACAAAAAGGACAACTGTATAAATACATGTCATGAAATAACATGACTTGTCCATCTTGTTTTCAGGGTGGGGATTGTGAAGGAAGAGGAAATTGGGAAGAAAGTGGGTAACAAAAGATCTACATGCCATGGTACGTTGAATTCTATGATGCAGCTAAGATGTGACCAGTGAAAAGTCTAAAGCAAAAACCATAATCATCCTTTTCCTTTTTCAAATTTGAAAAAAAATATGTTAATGTCAATATTTAATATTTCAGACATTCCTAAATCAAGATGCTAGTACTGGTTATGGAGAAGAATAAATGAATATGAGGGATTCACAAGGTTAAATCTGAAACATTTGGCGGGGATTGATCATAAAGGAGTTGGAGATGACTCAGAGTTTGCAACTTAAGTAACTGCTTAATTCATTAGCAGATCTCAGGTATATGGGAAGATTGTACCTGAAGAGTAATCCAGTTTTAGACACTAAATTCGAGATATCTGTAGATCATCCAGGGGACAATTTATGGATATATAAATCCAGAACTGTAGAATGAAGTCAGAACTACAGGTTCTATATTTGGGAGTCATGAAGATTCATTCTCCTGGTACTAAATTCCATGGGAATGGATCTCTCAGAAAAAGCTGTGTGAAAAGAGAAAGCTGATTAAGGATAGAATTCTGAAGAATATCAATAAGATAGGGTGGCAGAAAGAGAAGGGCCCTTCTGAGACTGAGAAGAGGCTACAGAGCTAGAAAAAAAAAACTTCTTCAGAAGAAATTGAACAAAATACAAATTGTCAGAGATATAAATATAAGAAATGAAAAGCATGCATTAGATTTGCACTAGTAATATGTTTCTAGAGAAATCTCAGTAGCATGAAGAATGTGTAAATAATTGTAGATTACTCTTCAAATACATTGAACTTAAAGAGAGAGATTAGTCAACATATACCCAAACAAGAGAGTTTTTTGTTTTGTTTTTTTAATGTGAGATACTTGACAAGAACAAGTCAGTGATAAGAGAAACAAAGATGGGCTACC